GTCCTGCTGGCGGACGACGATCTAAGAATTGGCGTGTTGTCGACAACCACTTAAGTCTTTGTGGTCACATTCTCGAGTAAACTTTCGATAATCGGAGAACTTCCGATGTCACTCTGGAATGACCGAGTTACTATTGTGCTTTCTCGCCTTCGTTGACTCCGACAGGAGATACCACGCTTGATTGTCAATTCAAATTCGGAGGTGCAGGTCCTTGTTTCGACTGCTCTATTGGTGTGTGTACAGGGGTGAAGGTGGAAGGTTTTCTTCCTCACTCTCTATCCGTTATGATGGGTCCTGGGATTTTGCAGAATTTCTGACCGCTACCCACGAGGACTTTTCTCAAACCAAAGTATTTCCTTTTGTGGAGTCATAAATGCGAATTTGGTCATCAATTTTCCGATTAAATATCTGATATTTATATTACATTATGGCCTTTAGAAAGTCAGATATAATGTCCTGCATTATAACTGTCGTTGCTGTCTCATTTTAGTTCAAAGACACTAAATACTAACAAGTCTTACCCATATAAATTCGTCCGGTGTGTTCTCCTTGGGTGGACAAGTTTCTTCTGGCCTTCTCTACCTGAGCACAATGTACCAGAGTGTAAGGAAACTCTTTATCACCTATCACACGATGATGTGGTTTAGAACAGGATGGCGTTTTATCACAGCAGAATTTTCAAGCTAAGGACCCAAAATCCGCGTTTCTCTAACAGGGCTGCAAAAGAGGGGTATGAGCAGTATGAGGCATGGCTACAATGGGTGATCTGTTTGGTATTTTAAGCAAACAACTTCACAGACATGTTTTGTATAGGTATGGCCCTACAATATATTTTTCCAATATAGCACAATACTGTAGGTCCACTTTCAATTATCAGAGAAAAAAGCTGAGCAAAGTTAGCAGTTAGATCCAAGCCCCTGCATCCCTTGTCCACTTTTTCCGTGGAACAGCTTTAAAGTAAAAAACCTACTAAACGATGAACAGTGCAGGAAAGGCTGAAAAAGCTTGACTGCCATGACAAACTACCATGATCCCACGCTACTTCACAACGCTACCAAACTCCGTCTTTTGTCATAGCATAGAATAGTGTAGGCCAAATTTGATCTAAAGTTCTCCCTATGTTTCCCTCTTTGTTTCCCCAGAGGAAGGCCCTGGTCGTGTTGTTCCAGCACTGGTTCAGTGCGGCAGCAGAGGAGGCCTCAGTGTGCAGCATGGTGGCTGAATACCTGAGAGAAGTGAAGAGAGTCACTCCTTCACTGCTGCCCTTCTTGATCAACATGGCCGACGACAACGGCAACACTGTGCTGCATTACAGCGTGTCCCACTGCAACTACAGCATCGTCAGCCTGATCCTGGACACAGGTAACAGCAGTGTGTTGCAGAGCTAGTGGACAGAGAAGTATTTGGCTTTTAAACACTGAAAAACGTTTTCCTTTGCCATACAGGTGTGGGTGATTTGAGCATTCAGAACAACGCCGGCTACACCGCAGTAATGCTCGCCTCGCTGACCGCCCCTGATGGACCCGGCGGCATGGAGGTGGTCCGCAAGCTAATGGAGCTGAGCAACATTAATATACGCTCAAGCCAGGTAACACACCCAATGAGGCTTAAATAGGACACATTTTTGGTGTGGGGGTTGTTATTTGTAGGTCGAGAGGACTTTTATTTTTATATACTTTGACACAACATTAAAGGGTCATCCTGGGTCACTGATTTGACACATGAAAATACAATAATTGTATAGCATGACCTGAATCTAAAGATGAACAGTATACAATTAAGAGGCAAAACATGTTGAGATAAATATATAAGGACTTTTAAACAAATTGCTAAGTAGTCATTTTCGGTCCCGGTCCACAGACGGGCCAAACAGCTCTGCACTTGGCTGTGAGACACGGGCGGGTTGTGATGGTTCGCCTGCTGCTGAGCTGTGGAGCAGACACTAACCTGCAGGACAGAGAGGGAGCAACGGCCCTGATGTTCGCAGCTGAGAGGGGCCACACACACATCGCAAGGCTGCTGCTGGAGAGGAGCCAGTGTGACCTCACTCTGACCAACAAGGTGACACTGCAGAAAACACACTTCCTTCCAATAAAATCCTTTAACCCTTGACCGGATTAATCTCAGTTAATTGGATAAGAAATTCTCCCAAAAAATAATACAGGAGTCAGCACCCCCACTACAATAAATTACAGAAATATAGTGTTCATATGATGACGCCAACTCCATTTCTCCTGTGAAATCCTGTTATATTTGTTAACAAAAAGAACACAGTGTATCTACTTTTCTACTCACAAAAAGGAGCTTAGATGTATGAAAGCTTCAATGTTTTGACTCACACTGTATGGACGTGGGTGGACTGTCAATCTGCATGCAGCAGAATAAAGCTTTCCCAGGATTAATCGGGGCTACAGTAAAACAAATCTCCCTGTGCTGAGATGAGCTAATCCGCTAACAGTACTTTATCTACCAGTCTGGAGCGAGTGGAGGTAGGCAAGAGGGCGGAGGAGAGGATGCAAATGTTTATTCTATTTTTCACAGTCTGCATCTAAAGTAGTTTTTTTCAAGACTAAATTAAGCACCAGCAACCACAGGCATCCTATTTCAATTTTAAACCATGTTTCAACTTGACACAAACCCTGACTAATTAGACTAAATTAAGTCTGATGAAATTAAGTCTTACCACGTTTCTCCTAAGGACATAAATGTAGCCTTGCAAATAGTTTTGTTATTTAATTGTCTGCGGCAGTGGCTCTCAAACTTTTTCTTTCATTCCCCACTTTGAACAGGTGGGCCTTTTCAAGCCCCACCTGTTCCTCATCGCTCCAATNACACACACACACACACACACACACACACACACACACACACACACACACACACACATCTTGCAATTTACTTATTTATCTAAATAGTTATAGTTAATTTTGTCTTAACAAAATTAACTATAACTATTTAGATAAATAAGTAAATTGCAAGATGTGTGTGTGTGTGTGTGTGTGTGTGTGTGTGTGTGTGTGTGTGTGTGTGTGTGTGTGTGTGTGTGTGTGTGTGTGTGTGTGTGTGTGTGCACGTGTGCATGTGTGTGTGTGTGTGTGCATGTATGTGTGTGTGCATGTGTGTGTGTGTGTGCATGTATGTGTGTGTGAGTAGGGGAGGATCCTCTTGCTCTTAAAGCCGGGTCAGAAACAGA